GGATAACAACCCGCTCCCTGCCGTCGGTCGGCCCCGCTGTCGCATCTGCATCCATCCCTTTTGGGCGACGCTGCGCCGCTCCTCCTGTCACACCTTGGCCCCACAACTTTGCAATCACCGCACGAGAGCGCGCCACCTCTCGCCGGAGGTCGAACCGACTCATTGTTTCCCAGAGTGCGTCCCAATTCACAATCCGATCGCTACGAATCGGTACGAATAGAACGGAATGACGAAGGGATCGATCGTCAGCGAGGAGGGCATCCTTCCGCCACTGCTCGCGAAGGACGTCGCGGTTCGCGGTCCTCCGCGGTGTACCGTCCACACGTATACCAAGCCACCCAAAACCTCCGGAAAGGCCGCCAAGAAGGGGGGCAAGGCCCAGATAGCAGAAGCACATCTCCAAGGGCGACAAGAAGAAGAAGCGTAAGAGGAACCGCGACCCGGATCCAAAGAAGAACAGCAGTTCTTCCTGAACCCTTTCCTCCTTAGCGTTGATTGGCCGACGCTGACGAAGTTCTCGAACCCGACACTAGGGGTTGACCGCCCTTGCGGCCAGTTCAAGAACTTCGTCGGCGGCAGCCAATCAGTGCGGGCGAGGAAAAAGTTCAGACCGATTAATTCGTAGCGATAGAATTGAGAATTCGGACACATTCTCAAACCTTAAATACCAAACAAATCTTAAAAGTAGTGCATCAACCCAAGTTCTTCGCAGGACTTTAATAGTGTACTCTCCGGAGTACGTTAACAAACCCGACCATTATCAAGAAGGCTACAAGAGAGAGTAATGAATTTATCCGTAGCTATGATTATAAAAATGTCCCTTGCTATAATTAAATAAAACTATAGTTGAAGATAAATTTGTCCATAGCCATAAACGGATTTGTCCATGGATACAAATTAATGTGTTCCTCATTAACAATTTTCTCCTTAAATGTTAACAAAATTGTCCATAGCTAGCAGTGGTTTCTCAATTGAATCATTTTTATGGGTTCATTAAAAGGTCCGTTGCAAAAGGAGGTAATCGTTGTATTTAAATGGATAAAAATGTTGGTATTATAGTTGCGTAAGATTCAAAGTAGTGAGAAGATAAATTTATCCACAGTAAAGGATAAATACATCCTTTGAGGATTGAGGGTGTACACTGTGGATTTTTAATCAAACCACCCAACTCTCCCCAAAGTGTTTTTGGACCGAACATTTATGAATTGTAGTGTGTTTGTGAGGTAAGGCCCCATATAATTTTAGTTCATGGTCTCTACTTTTCAATTCAACAAATATTTTAAAAACTATTCCCTAGGGACCACAAATATTTTAGCATCATGGAGTTTATGCAAATGAATTGCATACATAGATTTTCTACGCTTCTTTTGCACAATTTGCTACTAAAATGTGCACAGTTTTCTTACAAATCTTTGAATGGCTGTTGTGCGCAAAATGTGTACGGATTTTATGCAAATTATTTGCATACAAATCTGCGCTTTAATTTGTAACCCAGATTTGTGTGCTAATGTGCACAAAATTGTACAAATTTGCGCACAATCCTAGTTGTGCGAATGAAGTGCACAAAAAAAAGTTACAAATCCAGTTAGTGTGTAGCAGGGCGCCACTGCTACCCAGAGTATTTAGCAGGGGGTATTTGTCGGGAGAGGGGCTCTTCCCCCCCACCCCCCTCCTGCAGTAAAAGCAAAAGCAGTCTGCAAATCAGTCAGTCAAGTGTCTGGAGGATTTCAACCCGCCAGAGCCCGCTCCCTCCTGCTCACCTCTCCCGTCAGTCGTTCGTTTAGCTCCTAAAACCCTGGCCCAGAGCGAGAGAGCAATGGTAGCGAGAGAAGGAAGAGGAACCGCGAGTTTTAAGTGCAAGCAGCAACCCCGTATATTTTGCGGTATATACCTGATTTTTATTGTACGGGGCACATCAATAAAATAAACCATTGACATTGCAGTGCTATTCGGGTTTCGGAACGATCCAGCCCTCAGCCTCCCAGCATCCGTAGTACACCTTTTCGGGTTTGCCAAAAAAGTGTAGTACAACACTGCACTTAAAAGCGTGATACATGTGTGGTACTACACTTTTAAGAGTGATCGTGTGGTACTACAGTTGAAAGTGTGATACATGTGTGGTACTTTAACTGTGCTACTCATGGTATTGCACTTATAACTAATAGAAATTTCTGTGGAAAGAAAGGCGGAATTCATTTAATATCAGGTATTTGGAGCCATAATTTAGCGATAATTTTAACATTTGCGTGCCTATTATGTTAATGCAAACCATTTCTGTCGGAGGTTGTGGCGATGATGGAGGGTTCTCCTTCACAGACGGCTGTAACTCGAAGAAAGAGTCGATTTGGTTTTCGAATATCTTGTCTGAAAACGGTTAAAATGAGGGAGCCTCGGGTCGAGCTGTTGCCTTCCGTCCGCGTGCTTCGAAACCTACTGAGCGTTTCGACCAGGTACCTATCAGTACAGTATTACCAACAACGTCAATGATGACGTATAGGTCGCGTGGTGCCCGCTCAACTAGCGTGCTGCAAAACGAAACGGACACCACAGTTTTGATCAACTCGTTTCGATAAGCAGGTGGTACCATGGTTTCGTGTGAAATTTTTCTTTCAGCGATTAATGAATCATCTGCTGGAAAAGAAATTCTAGAAATGCTTTGTTCATCTTATTGTGCGGGATGCGATTGTTCGGCACACTTACGTACCGGGTAACGCACGGCCTCTGTTTTTAGGGAGCTATTTCAGGACTCACTCGCCTGAAAAATACGCCGAACTGTTACTCACAAATGAGCGCACCCCACACAAAAAAAAATGTATTAATTTTTTCAGCATTGCAAACACGCGCGATCTATTCACTTTCCCACTATCGCATGACTGTGAATGAGTCTGTGTGCGCGCGTGTCGGCTTGATTGCTCGCGGCCCTTTTTACTTTATTTCCTTGATTTTCCGTGTTGAGCTAACCCTTTTGTTTCAAGTGTTGCGAGAGCCTATTTGCACAGCGCGCACAGCAGCAGCGGTGTAACTAGCAGTGTAGCGGCACCGAGTATCGAGCGCGCTCTCCTCGTTCTCATTTCCACTTTTGCGCACAACTCTTTCGGTGCCCCCTCTCTCTTCCTCGTACACACATTGACCCCCTATCCCGCGCACACACTCGATTGTGCAGAACGTTCGTTTGCAATCATCTTGCCTGCCGATACGCAAACGGAAACAGACGGCGCGCGCGCGGCCAGCGCGGCCTCGTTTAAAAAGTCACAACATTTACATTTTTTTCCATCTACATGAAAAACGCCCTCTCCCCATTCCCCCTCACGGGAGCCGAGTACTCGTTCCCTTAACACTCTCTCTCTCTCTCTCTCTCTCTCTCTCTCTCTCTCTCTCTCTCTCTCTCTCTCTCTCGTGGCTGTCGTCGGCGTGTGGAAAACAAATTCTGACACGTCACAGCGCCAAGCGGGCGTCGGGGCGGAGGTTTCCGTTACCGCGCGCGAAACCCGAGCTCTGCTTTTCTGTGACGAGAGAGAGAGGAGAGGGACAGAGAGAGAGAAACGGAGAGAGAGGGGGGGGAGGGGAAGGGCGAGAGCGAGATAGCGTCACTCGGGGGGTGTGGCGGTCCCAGCGGGCGCCTGCTGAGTAGGCAACGCGCCCACACGCGCCCGCACCGGCTGGCCTACCCAGCACGGCGCCCTCCCTCCGCGTTGCTCGCTCGGCACTGCTCGGCACAGCAAGCAGCCTGGCCTCGATTCCATTCCACCGCCCGGCCCTTCAGGCGGCCTCCATGCGAACTCCAGGCGCCCTGCAGGAGGCCCGGAGCGCATCTGCAGACGCGGGCGCCGCGCAGCGCACGGCCTGCCCTGATTCAATCCAGCAGGTGCGCCACTGCCGCTGCTGCTGCTGCTCGTTTCAATCAGCAGCTGCAGCAGCAGGTGGAGGGAGGGGGCGGCGCAGCTGCCAACCCCCGCCGGGCGCGCCAGCGGCGCTTAGAGGATTTCTTTAACAAACCAACCAACTCTTTGGCGCTATGAATAATTCAGGGCTACACAACTACTTGGCGGAGGCAGAGGAGAAGGAGGAGCCGGTTAACGACGACTCGGAGGGGAGGGCCCGCCCGCCCGCCCCGCCCGCCCGGACGGTTCAAGGTCCTCCGTCGGCCCTGGCCGTCGTCGGGGAGGTTATGGCCGCGCGTCCTCCGCCAAGGTGTCCCCGGCGACGCATAACCGTAGCCGTAGTCGAGGAGGCCGGCGCCGGCCGGCGCGGATAGGGGAGGGGCAGACACCTTTTATCGGGAGATAAGTGCCGGGCTGCCGATCCCCCGTCAGCCGTTGTCTCGCAAGATTATCGCCGTCTGGGGAAGGGCCTAACTACAGTTTGACACCCTCGTGCTGTCCGCCCGACTCCCCCACGCGTGTTCGCCCACCTGGAGACCCCTGCCCGACAAGCTGTGGGGAGAGGTGCAGGGGGGGGGGGGGACGTCACGATCCACATTCGGGAGGTTGGCATTCACGACGACGACGCCCGGGCGGCACACAGAAGCCTCTACAAAATGTTTCCTTTACTCTTCCGCCCGGGATTGGTTCCGGGGCCCGGGGCCGGGGCGGCGCGCGGGGGTATTGACAGTCTTGGAGAGCATATGAAATGGCGGCAGGGGAGCATACGTGCCCATAGGGCCACCCCCGCACCCGCCCCCCGCACAGCAGATCGCGGTGACGGAAATGCCGATACGGCAATTCAGAAAGTCAACAGAGTCGTCTCCGTCGTCGCCGGGTGTAGAGAGAGAGAGAGGGGGAGGGGGGAGGAGCAGTGCGGGGACGGGGTCCCTGGGGCCTGCTGCTGCTAGTGGGGACGGCCGGCGGGGCTCCGGGGACTCGTGGTGTACGGAACCGAGAGAAAAGAAGCTCGGGATGCAGCAAGGCCAGCAACGTCCACATGGTCCCCGGCGCAGACCGGCGCCGCATTCCGCCTCACTTGTCGCACTAGCTAACGGTGTACTCGTCTTTCTGTTCCAGGAGGGCACCGCGATGCCAGATCTCGCCGGCTGGAGGCCTTCACTAGAGCCCCTGGAGGGGCAGCTCGGGGGCGGCGCGCTGAGGCCGGCGGCGGCGGCTGCGGCGGCGGCTGCGGCGCGGCCGTGGGGCGGCGGGCGGCCATGAGGCTGCTGGTCGCGCTGCTGCTGCTGGGGGCGGCGCGGGCGGCCGGGGGCGGGGCGTCGTCAGGGGCCGCAGCCGGGGGGCCCAGCGGGGTCCACAACGCCCCGCTGCAGCTGCCCACCTTCCAGATGCCGCACGGCCGGAGCCTGTGCGACCTGCGCGCCGGCCAGGGGCCGCGGCCGCTCTGCGACTGCGACCTCGCGTGGGGCCGCATCAACTGCTCCTGCCCGCCGCACTACCAGGTGAGTCCAGTCATCATTTTTATAAGCAAATAGAAATATCTATGCCTAAATCGTGTACTCAGTGAAACGTTTTCCGAAAATTATAGAGACAAGATTTTTAAAATTGGCTTTTCCTTTACGTTTTTTGGCATTTACGTCTTGCCGCGTCGAAGCGAGTCGGTCGGCGGTCAGTCACAACGCCAGTCAGGCAAAGCCCCGGACCAACTTATTGGCCCCGAGCAAACTTGTCAAGGCCGTCGGCGGCGGCGGCGGTGGCGGGTTCGAGCCCCGCCCGCCGCGCGCCCGGCCCGCCAAACTGCGTCCAAACAAAAATGATCGATTCGCGGGCGGGTCCGACTGTAGCAAGTGAGCCCCCGGGGGTCGCTGTGAGTTACTGCCGCCGCCCGGCCCGGCCCGAGGCCCGGCCCGGCCTCCGCCTCCTCCTCGGCGAGCTCCTTCTTCCTTCATATACGCGTCCCGCCAGCGCCCGCGCCGCTTGACTATGCGGGGCGCGACGTCGAGCGGGGCGCTCGGTCGGGACGTGACGCCGGCGTCGGGGGCGCACGTCGCGCAGCCATTGCGGCGGGTGGCGCCGCGGCGGTGCACCCGAGCTAGACGGCAGTGGCATCCCACGACAGTGGCATCCCACGACAGTGGCATCCCACGACAGTGGCATCCCACGACAGTGGC